GAAGAAGCTATTGGGATACGTTACTTTATAAAGGTTATGGATGACTAGGCATTGTTGGTGGAGAGTAACTCTATGGATATTGTAAATTGGGTCAAAAGTGGTGGCACCATTTGGCAGTTCAATAGCAAAATTCTTAGAAAATACAATATAGTTATTCAAGTTTATTCACTTTAAACGCGTGAATAGAGAGAAAAACTCTATGACGAATGTACTTACTAGATTAGGTGTCAATGGAAAGGTTGACATTTTTGCCTAGATTTAATTATTATACTATTCGATCATGATTTTTTATTTTTCTACTCGTTTTTCTATTTTATTGCCCCTTGTTTATATGGCCTCTTATATCCAAACCACATATAGGAACTTTTCTCGCTCTTGGGTTGTGTGGCAACGCAAATTAAATATGTTGCTTTTTGGGATTGGGTCCATTACATGCAAATAAGTTTCAGGTACTCCTACTCATTTTTGGTTAGCAACTTTATTTTTAGCATTTTGACTTAGTTTTCTTTATTTGTATTTTTGTCGCTTTGTTCTTAGTTGTAATGATGTTTTTAGCTTTGTTCTATTTTTTTTATTTTGTTTCTTTTTATAGTTAATTTATGTGTTTTTTTTTTGTGTTTAGGTCTATATATTGTGGCTATTTTATCCTATTTCTTGAACAATTTCGTTGACTTGGATCGTGATACATTCACTTACCATTAATTTTCGTTACTAACCCGTGAATAGAACATACATTATTATGATGAATCGCTCTGATCATCTTATGTTCATTGTTTTTTCATTGTTGGGGTCAGTTTTCTTATGTTCCCACCTTCTACTGCATTTTTCTTACAAAATGTGGAGTTCATCCTTGCATGGTCATGGCTTAAGGCACCGTGGCTTTCTTATGCTACTACTACTAGTTGTAGCAAATATCTTTATATGGCTAAGGTTTAGGGCACCTTGGCTTTCCTATTTTGTTTCTACTTGCACAACAGTTTTTTAGGTTGGTCTATATTTGGCTTGGTGTATCGTTATAGTATTATCAAAAAAATTTCATTTTAGGTTTACACTGAAATCTTTCAGAACTTTATATTACCATCGTTGTTTCAATAAAATTTGCTTTTACTTGTAAAAAGATATATTCTTATTGTGATCATGATTTCTATTTATATGAAGATTCTTATATTCTAATACTGAGTTTGTTTTAACTTTTAATTATATATAATTAGAATGAGAATATAATACATATGAGATAGAAAAATGAAAGAAAATAAGATTTTAGTTCAATAAATTTCATACTTAATTTAATTCATGTATTTTTTAGATTCTTTTCTCAACAAGTGGGACCAACAAAATCATGATTATGGAATTAATCATAAAAATCAAATTAATGATACGTAGGTGATGACTACTTTTTTGCTATCAAATAATTACTCGTTAATAATTAAATGAGGGCTGAGCTAAAGTCAATGAAACAATCGTTTACTAACTTGAGGTTCTTTTTCTTATCAAATCAATTTCTTTATTTCGTAACATTCGAAGAAAAAAGATAGAACAACAATCAATATATTTAGTAAAAATAATTTTTTAAAAGAAATAATTGTTTTACGATTTTATTTAGCAATATCAGTGAGCCGACAAGAAAACTAAACCATGATCATGAAAAAAAATGAGAAAGGGTTGAAGCAACATCTTGTAATCAGAACAAACATATCAAAGACAAAGAACCCCTCACAAAGGGAATCTAAAAATTAAAAAAATGTGTTTTCTTTTCAAGATAGTTATAAATAAATATGCTAACATAATACATAACTACTTCAATTAATGACTTGCTTTTGTTACTAAAATAAGGAGAAAGAACTACGAAAGCAGTAATATTATTAAACTTGGCTATCTCTTCGCTACTAAACATAACCAAACAACGAAAATTAAGATAGCAAGAGGGAGTTTTACGAATACTCGTTATTTTTGTTCAAATTTTTATCAAAACTACTTTTTTTTTTATTTAATTCTTGTTCATAAAATTAGAATTAAAAGAAAACTCAACGTAAGTATTAGGATTGATTTTGTAACATTAACTTAATTTCTAACCACTGCATACCATTGAGAATTTCGTTGTCATTAATGAAAAAGAGTAGTTGTATATTTTGTAGAAAGAAGTCACCCCCTTTCATTTCACGTGCGTGTAGATAAACAAATTGGCAATATGTGTGTGTGTGTATATATATACAAGTAAAAAATCTCATCGTTATATTTTTTATAAAAAAATGGGTTTGTTAGTGTGAAGTACATATGTATGTCAGACATATAAGAAGAATTTGGTGAAGTTGTTCACATGGGAGAAGTCACACGTTCTGTTTGGTTTTACATATTTGGCATGCACCTCTCGCAACTTCTCAACTAACATCCAATTGTCTTGGTCACTTTTTTCACATTCACAGCAACTCTAAGCATCAACCATTACACATGCTTATCATATATGTATATCTGTGTTTATATATATATATATATATATTTCAGGATTACCCATTAACTCTCTGTTAAACAGGACCCATTTCCAAGTTAATATTTAAACATTTATAAATATATATATATATATATATGTTTGTATCTCAAGATTTGAGAAAACCTAAAGAAACAGTTGCAGTTTTCTCCTTTTGTTGGTGGGGTAGATGGAGTCAACAACCAGAAATTGCATTTAATTCAATTTTCGAATCAAAATAAGGAGATTCTCTTCTGATTCCATGAATATATATATATATATATATATGTGTAATGTAATGATATCGTCATCCTCAACATATATGTCTCTCTCTCTCTCTCCCTATATACATACACGCGCATACTCATCATCCATCGCTTCTCTACTATAATCTACATCTATACATACACACATAAACATATATGAAATTGTGTTCGTCCATCAGTGGGTAACACGTGTGCCTTTCCAATCAGTATTAAGTGACATTGCTGCCTCAACATGATTCATTCATATATATATATTCAGATATATATTTATATTTGATGAAACCAAGCAGTTCGGTCAAGTTCCCTGCAATCTTTGACGCTATTTTTATATTACTAGTTTTTTAAAATCAAGTTACATCATAAGGGACAAATTATATGGATAGACTGACCTTTTCTTGTTCATAAAAAAAACAATACGAGAAGGTGTAATAATTAAAACTCCCTTGACTTTGATAAATCAATCTTATTTCTTAGCTATATACATCAGCAGGAGTTGCATTCTTCTTCATTTTGGAGGAGAGGGAAGTTACCAATTGAACTGCATGTATATACATATACTTAGTGGCCTTAACCAGTGTATGCAAATCTCAAGTTCGTTCATCTTAGGGAGAAAGAAAGAAAAGAAAAGAAAAGAAAATGATTGGCCCATAAGTACAGAAGGTTTGATGGGGGGGTGCAAGAGTGATAATATATGGGAGGTGAGTCATATAATGGTGTTGAGAAAAAGTTAATCATCAGAAATTGATGAAGAGACTTATTTGTTAACCATGGTTTGTGTAATGTTGAATAAATCAATCAATTAGTTATTAGTGTCATAATATAATTTGATTTGAAAAAAAAGGCAAAAGTAATGAAATGATTGATGATAATGTCATACACCAAATTATTAAATCCCACTCTTTCAAGCAGATAATCAAAGGAATAAAATGATTAGCAACGCTTGGATTAATTAATTTTAGTTTAGTGGTTATTTAAATTTTTATAATCATATGAGAGATTTTAGTTAAGAGTAAGATTAAAATATATATATTACGTTGTAATCAGAGCATCCATGATAATTATTTATGTTAATAATGATATTTTGAATAAGAATTTTTTTAAGTTTTAAGAAATTAATAAATAAAAAAAGGGGGGGAAGTAAACTGTAAAGGGAGATGGAGAGGAGGACCACATGTCGCATAATGTAATGAGTCCATGTCAAAGTGAATAAAAAGGAGGCAATGTGGGACAGGTTAAATGATATGATTGGATAATGTAAAGCTAAAGGGAGTTTATTATTACGTGTGTGTATGTGTACATACACGTATTTTGAAATAAATGAGGGGATTAATTTGTGGGAAATAAAAATAATTTAGATTTCTTGGGGGCGAGGCAAAGGGAGAGGTGATAGATAAAGCAGTGAAGTTGTGGAGACAGGGCAGGGCTTCCATAAAAGGGTATTATTATTATTATAATTGTGAAAAACTTGGGTTGCCCAAAATTTGCTTTTTTTTTTTTTTTTGCTTTTGCAATTCCGCACTCTATTATTATTATTATCATTATTATTATAGGGTAGAGAGAGAGAGAGAGCCCACTAGATGTCTTATCACCTGAAAATTAAGAAAAGGAAACAGACCCCACAATCTCCTCTTTCCATTAGATAACATATTTGACATTTTGTACAATTAAAAGGGTATATACTAAAAAATTACTCTTATTATTTTTAAGGTGATAATGGAATATTATTTACCCACCCTTTGCCCCACAACAATGATTATAACAGATGTTTATAATTTTTTTTTTTTTTTTTTTTTTTTAAAGAAGAAATATATATATATAGAGAGAAAAAGAGAGAGAGGGAGCATGGAAAGAATAGTCTTTGGGCTTACGGGTGGGTAGCCCTATACATGTAAAGCATAAACCAACCAACCAAAGGTTGCCTCCTCATTAAGGAAGAGAAGAAACATATTGTTAGGAGGAGGAGGAGCAGAATTCCATTTAACAATCTGACACGTGTCAAGGACTCGGAATTGTTGAAATAAAAGAGGTGGTGGTTTCAGTTTTCACCCACGACCAATGAATTAATTTAAAATTAAATTAAACACGTTATTCTAATATCGAGACTACACGAGCATCTCCCATTTTAAAGAGCATCAAAAGAGGGGATAAATATAAAACTCTCCTCCTCTGTTCCCTTCTCCCCATACAACATATTAATTACTTTATCTAATAATTTTATTACATTGATCATAGATTTGCTTCCCCTTACACCATATTAATCCCTTGCAAACAAAAAACAAATATAATTACTACCCGATTATATATATATATATATATTTCCATATTTTTCTATAAGCATGATTTCATTTCATTATCAAAATATTTTTTTAAAACAAAAATGTCCAAAATTTTCTTAGGGTTTCTCTTTGAAGAGAGATGCCAGTCCGGTTACCATCTTCACTCCTCTCTCTGCACGCTTCTGTTTCACCGCCGGGGGCTGCCACGGGCCCACCCCCACCCCAACATCGCACTCATATGGCTCTGTTTCTTCACCGAATAGCAGCTCCAGCTCTCCGCAGTCCCCAGTTTCCTCTCCATTATCACCCTTCTTCTCTGGGCAGGGAGTATGGGCTCTGGTGAAAGGAGAGAGCCATTTGGCACGCATGTAGTCGGCTTTTCTCCAGGGTGGGAAGTGCATGCCTTTCTTCTTCAAGCTCAGCTTCGCTGCCTCCGACACAATCGATATGATTTGACCCAGCCGCTCCGTCTTCCCGACGAAGATGTATGGAAGAGATTGCAGAGTCGCCTTGTAGGCCGCAGTTGATCGCGCTATCTCGAACTCTGATCGGAAGTCAATGTCGATCAGCAACCTTTCCTCTCCCTCCACTATCACGTCTATGTACTCGTATTCACCTGTGATTCACAATCCAATTCAGAATTTATCTAATTCGATTATTCTCTAAACATTTTCATTTAAATTTCGGAGAGGCCGAGAAAGACTGCAGGGAGAGGAAGAGCGAAGGTGGAGTACCGGCGGGGAGAGTGAAAGATTTCTCCCATTGGGATTTGCAAATTGAGGAATTGTAGCCCATATTTGACAAACCATCGGTAACGACCTTCCTCATTTCGTCTTTTCGCTTGATGCTTTTGTTCTTATCGACGATCATGGCTGTGTCGGCTAACAAGTTCCTTTCCGCCACGCTCGGGCATTGAATCAAACTCTGTTAAATTATAACAACAGTAGGTCAAATTATCAATCTTCCCTGTTTGGTTGCTGAGAAACTTTTAGGCAATTTTTTTCAAACAGAACCCCGTTTTGGGGAAAAAAATTTACCTTTAGGAAATCGAAGCTGTCGCCAGTTGATCCACCGTTGATCGAGTCAGAGAAGCCACCGAACATGTCAAACTCATCGTCAGAACTATCAATGTTTGGGTTGAAGCAATTGCAGCGACTGCGGCCACATTTCACGGCGGATAGCCTCTCGCTGTTGTCCTCGATAAAGTTCTGCACCATGTTCGCCAAGCAAACA